GCAAACTTATAAATCGATTAATAAATACCAATGAATTAAATAAACACTAGCGAAGCAATCAGGTAGGTTTTCAGAGTGTTTATCCAAAAATAGAGTATCAACCAACAATAAATCAAAGGATGGAAAAAGGTAACCGAATATAAAGCAATATTTCGTTTATCATTTATGTCTATAAAAATGGAATTTGTCTATATAGGACATGGGATAGTCTAACTCATTCCGAGAGCAGGGTATTAATGAAAAGTATATAATGTTATTGAGAATATATACGAGGACAGAACTAAGATAATTCGACTATACAAAGACAGAAATAAGGAGTGGGGAAGAAGCATAAAATCTGATATTGTGTGAGTTATTATAAATTATTATAAGTTATATATCATTATGTTTTGATAGTGAACGATATTATATGCTGAAGGATATTTAGTCAAAATTATTTTCTAGACGTTCTGTCGACATCAATTGGTTAACTGATAAATTTAGCCTGTTTAAATTATTTTTATATTTTTTTCATTTTATCTATAGACTGTCGCACATCCAGATCTGGTTTATGAAAAAACTAACTAAAAAATGCTGTTCATAATATTTTTTTCACAATAATTGATAATCGTTATCAAGAGCGTTTATTATATCAGTTTCAAATAAAAAAAAAAAAAAATTTTTTGATTTGTTCGTATTTTCTAGAAATCTTATTTTAATTCAACTGGTCATTTATCTAAGGCACATGATGTCATTTATAATATATCTTGTAACTCTATGTAAGTGATTTAATTTAGTCTAAAGTATTTATTATAGTCACAAAACATCATAGCACCAAAAACTATTGTTAATGTATATTGCTAATGTTTTTGTAAATATATAAGGATGTATTGTGAATTCAAGAACGAGGAACAGTTGATTTTACAAGAAATGTATAAAATGGGTGGGTAATGGTGTACCGAATTGGCAGGAACAATCAAAATTCAACTCTGACATGGAGTCGAGCCAAAACTACATTAAATTTTGCCACTATTCCATTTATCTCGTAAACTGAAGGAAGAATTAATGCTCACACAGAAATTCTAAACGACGTGAAATAAATTTTAACTCTCACTCTAAAGATGCTGAAAAAGTTCTCTTAAGTGTCTTTGATCTATTTGAATAAATGAATTGCAGAAAATTATCATCAAATACGAAAAAGTTCAATTATTCCTTTGCAGCGATCGTATCAGTCAAAATTTGTATGTAAATCTGAAGCACACTTTCTCCATAAACACACACACACACACACACACACACACACACACACACACACATATATATATATATATATATATATATATATATATATATATATATATATATTTGAAGGAAAAACTTTCATGTCTAGTCGGCAGAACTAGATATATTAAGACGATGTTCCCTTCACTACTAGAAAGACATTATTTCTGTCACCAATAAGGGGAGACAACTGTGAAAACTAAGCGTCGTTTCTGCCACTTTATAGACAGATAGAATAATTGCCTTGCTGATAGCAGTGGAATTTATCGCTCGTCTAACAGTGGATTAAAAAAAATCGATCGACTCTCCCAGTCCAGTTGTCGATAGTCATCGGTCCTCATTTCGCCAGTACGAGTCGTCGATGGACGTTTGACAGGCAGGTCAATTAATAGTCGGCTTCTTGCGGCGAGGTTCTTCAGACAAAAATAAATTGTCCTGTCCAGAACAAGTCAAATCAATAGACAGAACTTGCTGGAGGAGGGTTCATGTAAAAATGAACATATACGTTCAAGAAATTTGTTACCGGTTGCGTATTACTCTATATTTGCGCCGGCTGATGTCAGTTGAGTATTGGTTTACATCAATAAGAGTAAATTCACTTGAGCGTGGAGTAATAAGCGTGTATAAGGTAGCGTATGATGTTGCCTTGGATGATTTCTATCTAGTGAATGACGATGCCTTGGATGATTTCTATTAATTTTTTTTAGGTGGTCTTAAAGAAAATCGAGAAAGGATATGTTGTTTTTACTGCAAAGTGAATATACGGCTGTACATTTCATGGCTCTGAGTTAGTCTTGTTTGTTGAGCCGAGAACATTTTAACGCCTTGGATTATGGGTGTACGTGTGTGTAAATTGAAAAAGAGAGCGTAAGTAATGTTATGTTTACAGAAAAATATTCAATTTACTGCAAATAAAGAAACGATAAACAAAATAACTTAAACATTTCAAACTTATTTTTATGCTTTGTATTTCAGCTGCAACTAGAGAGTTATTATTCATAGGACTGCTTTGTTGACCAAATTGCTTGGACTGGCATTAAATAGCATCGGTTTGGGAAATTTTGCCTTCAGCTTTTAAACAAATTATCGTACATTTCCCTGATGAGGGAAAAGGGAAATAAAACAAAATACACGTCGCGATCAGACCCGCCGGAGCCATCAGAAATGTGTCTTAGTCTAAAGAGCAAAACAAAAAACTCTATGGCAAGGTGGTGGATGCTGCAAAGTATTTCGAAATCAATGCCAAAACGGCAGCACACAATCTCCATCACATGCTTCATTATAAAGGAACAGCCAGAACAAATCGACGTCTTAAACCAATTAACATCAGTAAAAGCAATTGGCACCTGAAATGAGTTGTTCTATAAATTTACTTTTAACATTAACATCTTTTCAGAAAAATCTTCATTTCTACAATTTTTTTGCCTAGCTTAGAATTTTGACTGAACTGCTTACAGTTTACCATTAAAAATGGCAGCTTTCAGCTCAATTTGGAGCAATGATCAATCAAGGTATCTAAAGTGCGTGGGAGATAAACATTCAGAAAAATATTTATACATTCTTCATGAAATATTTCTAATATTCACTAGTTATATTGAGAAAACAACACTTTTTGATAGATGAGAAAACATTTTATCACGTCGCAGTTCGAGAAAAGGTAATAATAATAAAGGTTTTCCTTGCTTAATGGTATCCTTAATGCTATAGAAAGTCTTCTAAAATTTAATTTGCATGGAAATAGTCTTGAATTATCGATATCATTAAATAAAGGCATTTGTTTCAAAAATAGATGTATCGATAAATTATTGCCATATAGCAGGAAGACTGTTTTCTGAGTGTTGTATTCCTCCTCTTGTACACGCCTATCTCAGTTTTTCGGGGCTGCTGCCATGTATCCAGGGTAGTTGTTACGTTGTAGGTACTACTTATACTGACCAATTCTTTATCTAATGTCTCTGGGTCGCCACATGCTCGGTGTTGTAAGCAGCGGACGATCCCTTTCTTTACGCTGTATAGATGGTGGGAGTCCAGTGAATGTCGGTTTACGGTATACGGATGTCTTGAACCCATGTTCTATTCGAGATATTAGCACATCCAGGAATGGGAGTGTGTTGTTACTCTCTTTCTCCATTGTGAACTGCATCGAAGGTCTTATTGAGTTCATATGGTCCAGTCGAACCTGAACATCTTCCTGATGTGGCCAGAGTATGAAGGTGTCATCTACGTACTTTAACCATATAGTTGGCTTTAGAGATAATGATTCTAATGCCATTTCCTCAAAGTATTCCATGCATATATTCGCCATTGCTGGTGATAATGGCGAGCCCATTGCTAAGCCCTCATCCTGTCGATATATGTGTGATCCCATTCCGAAGTGTGTTGCTTGTGTACAGAAAGTCAACATCTCCATCAGATTATCTATTGGAATACTGGTCCGTTCTTCTCGGGATGAGTCAGATGCTGAGAGTGCCTCCTCCGTGGGTATTTTGATGAACAAACTCACCACGTCCAAGCTCACCATCTGTTTGGATAGGATGGGAGCATCTTTGATTATTTCCACGAAGTGGGCGGAGTTTCGGACATATGAAGGAGACTTTCCAATCAATGGGTCAATTATATCTACAAGGAAGCGACTCAGAGGGTGGCACACGGAGCCTTGGCAACTAACAATCGGCCTGAGTGGAATACCGTCTTTGTGAATCTTAGGGAGACCGTATATGTGAGGTAGCTTGGTGTAACCTTGCGATAACTGTCTATACGTTTTAGTCCGAATAATGTTAATAATATAAATAATACCTCATCTCAAATGTATATATATATATATATATATATATATATATATATATATATATATATATATATATATATATATATATATAAAATGATAAAATAGTTTTAATGTTTAGTATTTTTTTGGTAGAAGTGCTCAGAATCCGGGTAGAGTATGTGTGTCAATATAAACGTGGACACAGTTCGTTTCATGCTTGAGAGAAATATTCAGCTCATTGCTAAAGCATGAAATAAACTGTCAACATTCGGTGTTGGCCATTGTGTTCATAATTCATATCCATCTGTACTAATCTGTTTATGCTTTAAGTAAAATAATAGCAGAAGAGAAAATTCATGAGGGCAGACTGACATTCTCTTGATCTATCGCTAGTCTTCTAATCATTTCACCGAACTTCACTATTTTTTTCAAACTCACTTCATCAACCTGTAGGAATTAGGAGATATGTTGTAAAATAACACATTTAAGTCCCTGTTGGAAGTGAGTGTGTGATTGTACAAATTCAAAGCAGATCGTTAACAGATAATGACTACATCGTTTTCTGTCGTCCAATCTCAATAAATAAACAAAATATTTTATTTAAAGCACTGAAAATTTCAACACCAACTACGTATGACGCCTTAGTAAGGGGGTAAATTAAACCTTAAACGAACATTTATTTTTATTCAACTGAAATAATTAGGGTAAAAAATACTGTTAATAATGCCAAAAGAAAATAATTATAATTAATTTCTAATGATACTAATTAAATACTTAATCATTAAGATATATACGTAGAATTATTATATGTGCAATAAATATGCATAAGTGTTTTAGCGATTTCAAATTTTTGGTTTAACCCCTCCATATATATATATATATATATATATATATATATATATATATAAGGTGGGTGCTGAAAAGTTATCATGAAGCCCTGCTGTCAAAAAATCCTGTTTGACAATTTGATCAGATGTTGGCTCGAGAATTCTGGTATATGTATAAATATCTATCTATCTATCTATATGAAAATTCTGGGTGTTAGTGAAGCTATTGTTTTTATAAATATGTATTGTTAAAAACAAGAGGCATTTTATGCTTATTTACTAATATTCTTTCGTAAATGATGTTGCTGTGCGTGGATAAATTGTTCAAAATTCACCGAAGCTTTCGATGCATATGAAACATCAACAGATTGTGAGTGAGAAAAGGAAGTTAAGTATTTTTAAGAAGTAGAATCACAGAGAACTTTAACAAATGATAAAAATCACATCACTTAAAGAATTATCAAGAAGCGACAAAAACTAAAATGCATATCGCACGTAACTAGAAGTAATATTATGATGTAATGTTGACTTTTCACACGACCTTAAACGAAAGGTTAGGAAGAACCTCTCATTAATATCAGAAAGAGTGATAACAGTTAGTGGACTTGAGAAACTTATTTTATTGTAAAACTGTTTTAAGAGAAAGATATATACACTATTTATATTATTCGGACTATTTTCTTCATCATTGTCGCCATATTTATTACAATGTTTCGGCCGTTTTACGCTCTAGCCTTCTTCAGGTGTTTGCAATGTCGAACTGAACGATTTAATTCGCTCACTGGGGTAGACTGTTCTAGTTCCACATGCCATGTTTAATGGATGTCAGTTATCAGTTATCTCCTGTTAATTCCCCTCTCCAAGTTATCCACTGCCTGAACCGGGTATTGAACTCACACTCTTTGGGTCCTGTCACTGGATCGAAAGAACGCCTTTATCCACTGTGCCATGTGCAATAAATATGGCGACAAAGATGAGGACAATAGTCCGAATAATGTAAATAGTGTACATAATACCAGAAATATAGACATATACAGAAAGATATATATTTTAACAGTCATGCTAACATCTGTCAATAAATATCGATTTTTTCTGTATGGAAACAGTTAATCATATTATGTCAATATATGATATCGTATCATATGGTAATATATCATATGTCATATGTCATATGGCATATGTCATATGGCATATGTCATATGTCAATAAATCATATCATATGTCAATATAAACAATTGAGAGGCATGCAATTACGAGTGATATCTTTATGTCGGTTATAAAAAAAAAACTAAACCTTTGCTTAATGTGTCAAACTTTTATTCCCATTATCTTTCACATTAATATATGAAATGATGTAATTTTGTGAAATATGTTCAAGAATTTTCTATTCGTTTTTACTGAAGGATTTTGATAATATTGAGATGATGAGTTTTTAATTTTTACTCAAAGTCAACTCTTTGCAGTGCAAACATTTCCGGGACAAATATCAAATTTTATAAAAATATGTTTTTACTGCAATACTTTGTTCGGTTTAAGCTAATAAAACTCATTTAAATGTACTTTTTACCCGCGACAAACATACACATGTATATGTTCTGAGTATACACCTACATATGTATGCATCAAGTATCAGAAAGAGCGAAGGGAATTGTACCTGATGATAAGTGAGTAAAAATTGCGCCTCACATTTCTGTTATTTTTCTTTGAAAACAATGAATAACTAAAGACTAAATATTTTTAAAAGATTATCACTTGGAAAGCAACCTGTTGAGAACAGAATCAATAAGTAAATAAAAAATATCTTTCTACTTTTCTCCCTTAAGAATAAAAGTGCCAAAAGATGAAAGAAATTGAAAAAGTGTCAGATGTCGGGAATATAATAGTTGAAGCAAGGGAAATAACTTTTGGCAAATATCTCATGCATTGACACTCTTAAGATTATATATAAATTGATGTTTTCAAGAAAACAGAAAATTTAATCCGTTGCTGTTCATATGTGAATAATAGATATATATTCAAAGTGAACTCACGCACGCACAGACAGACAGACAGACACACACACACATATATATATGCACATATATATGTTCGTGTGTAAAAATATATTAATGATTGTGTATACAAAAATATAAATGTATACATATGTAATATATATATATATATATATACATTACATTCGGATCCATTACATTCCCTTACTTGCTGCTACCCTTTGGAAAGGTGTGAATCCTCTTCTTCTCCCACCAGCTATGGGTAAATAGGAGGACAGACCGGGTTCTATAGCCTTGGATGGTAACTGGTCTAGGAGAAGGACAACTCTGAATTCAAAACCTGCGTAGGGTCGTTTGGGGACCTTGTGGCACTTAGTGCCCTCTGTATTTGGCCCTTCAAAAAGTGTGGATGGTCTTGCCCGAAACCTTCACCTCTATGCGTGAATATGTGAATATATCTGAATATCTATACACTGTCATGAAATAATCGTGAATGCATATATTTATCGTCTCTAAATATCATGTAAAGGTTTATGTATATAATAGTCATTTAATTTTAGCTGTAATCTGATGTACATATAGTATATATATAATATTTATGTTTGTGTATGTGTATGTGTCTGTGTGTGTGTATGCGCGTGCGTGTGTGTCTGTGTGTGTGCATTTATAGGATGTATAATAGAATCCTGAACAAAAGTGAAGATCATGAGACAAAATTGAATTTTTTTTATCAAAGACGCGTTTCGTCGGAGAAAGCTTATATTCTCTTTGGCGTCATCAGTTTGAATAAAAGAAAAACCAAACTATGTGTTAGGAGAGGATCTCTGAGGTTGTCGTAAATCAGATTAATTACTCGCTCTTATCACTTCCTTGCTTTAGTCTTGAAGAGGGTCTGTATGTCATTGTGGTTGTGTATTTTTTTTTATCTCTATCCATATTAGAGCCGTTTGTTTAGGGTTAGGGCTTAATTCAGGGATGTTTATTATCTTTCTGTACATATATATGCCTCCACAGACACCTCCACAGACACCTCCACACACACACACACACACACACACACACACACATATATATATATATATATATATATATATATATATATATATATATATATATATATATATATATATATATATATATATATATATATATATATATATATACACGCACATATAATATATACATATATACAATTTTACATACGTAAAATACGATAATCCTTAAAATTTTGTTCTGGTGTTCCTGGCTCTCTCAGTCCTTAGCAAAAATGACTTAGTTGGTACCATTCTTGTATTATTTTCGAACGTTTGGATTCAAATTAACAGTTTTATACAAATTAATCAAAACTAATATTTTGTATAAAACTGTTACACGCAGCTAGACCATGTCATGAAATTGTGTCAAATATTTTTACACATAATTATTATGATTATTATTACTATCATAATTATTTATGCATATCATTTATTTTATGTAAAATTTAAGATGAAGTCTTCTATTCATACATAAACTGTGCGTCACACAAAAAGCTATTTGCACCATTAATATGCGGAGTATTTCACACAAATTAACATAATGTAGCTTGTACGTCACCTTATAATGTGGTAACCGGTGTTTTTTTTTCGGAGTCTGACATTTTTACTTGGTTAGTGTAACTCCAATAAACCGTATTCTTTAATTAAAAATTATAATAAAAAGTACGAAATATTTACAAAACAATGTTTTTAACATTGAGTGAAAACAGTGACATTGTAATTCATAAAAATGACCTTAATTTGAAATTAAGCTCCATATTCGTAAACTATTTCGGAAACTAGTTTTAGAATTCGCTCATCTATTGGATTCGTATTTCCTCAGATGAAACAGACATCGCACAGTATCAAGAATAGTGTTCGAAAATTGTTACCCGTCAATGTAAATTTTCTCTTCAGAATGCTCCACAACTTTTCCGTCAAGCAATAATCAGGCGAACAAGTTATCGATTTTATCAAACAGGTGTTTGAAACACATTTTATTAAGATATTTAGTAATTTTTTTATCACCGAATCCAATGTAGCATTATCGTGAAATAAATTGTATTTCTAAAAGCGTTTTATTACCTCTTCGCCCCTGGTTTCAAGTCTGCCTTCAAGAAAACACTGTATGTCTGAGCTGTCAGCGCCATGTGGAACTCGCAATGGACCCTGTTCTTCATCATCTATAATACAACCTCAGGTTAACACCACTTCCGTCTCGGTGACAACCGACCAGGGTGGATAACACCTGAACCTGCCGGCATTTTTGCCATCCGTCTGGTCCATCAACTGTAGTACAAGATTCATTGCCGGGAAGAACGGTTGGAATATCGATTTACATGGATTCTGTTGTCAATATCATACAATATTCCTTATTGGATTCTTGCATTTTTAACTCTGCCTAATGATCAAACTCGCATGTTTTACCTTTTGCACAGCAACTTGTCTTTTCCAACATTTACTTGCCAACACTTTTACTTACTCTTTTACTTTATAGATTAACAAAGATGCATTTTTTTAAATAACTTCTCCCTTATCTGAAATATAAAGTGTGCGGCTTGGTATAATCAGATTTGCATAAAATTGTCAACAAAATTCTTTACAGTCATTTTATGCAACTTCCGGTCATATCATTTTTAAACTGAACTTTCGAACTGTTTTATAGCTTTAAACTCTCAAGTGGATTTACCATGTTGCGAGTTTAAAGCTGAGAATTCGAAATTCAGTTCATCTGATATTTCATTCTAACTGCGCAGATAGATGCTGTCATCTTTAAACAAATATATACTTAGATTTCAATAAATATTTATATTTTACTAGTGATGGTAAAGGGCTAATGTCACTAATTCATTATTCGCAACAGATTTAATTGCAGAAGTACAAAAAGCATAATAATATAAAATATCGTCTTCTTCCTTGTCATTCGTAATAAAGGCATGTACCCTCGTCTCATAGGGAATTTTGGCTAATTTTTCATTCATGTGCGAGCTGCATCTTTCAACTCATAATCATTAGAGAATCACCGTCTGCTGAGTACCTCATTTAGGGGCATAAGCAGATGAATATTTGAGATACCAGCTCAGGGCTCTTGGATTTGTGAGACAAGGTTGCTTGTCTGATCTTTAAACGGTTGTGAGGCCTTGTATTGTCGAGTCGGAATACTCATCATCAAGTGTGCCTTATTCTGAGCTTTGATAATTTGCTAACA